ATTATTGTTTTGAAAATATGTTATTTTAATTTTTTTAATGATAATTTATTAAAATAATTTAATTTTAAAGTGTTTTTTTCCTTAAATTTTTTTAAAATATAGCTGATAAATGATTTTCTCCCCAAAAAACACATGCTATGTTCTACCAATTAGGTCCTTGAACAGGAAACTGTAAATAAAATAATTTAACTTGCATAGGAAAATTTAATAACCAAATAACTCCAGATACTATGGGAGTCCATTAATATGCAACAATAATAAAAATCACTGATATAAAAAGACTAGATGAATCCTTCAGCTTCTCTTTTGAGTGCTTGAAACAAAAATTTATTGAAGAAATTAACTGGTTCAAGATGCTCAAACTATTCCCGTCAGCAACTGCAATAAACTGAGAGAAACTGTTCTAAAAATGGTAAATTCGCTTCAACTTGTAAATGGTTTTAAGGAAATGGAGATGGGGTATGAGACAAAATCATGTGTTACCCTGTTGCAGTCATTGTTAAAAGTAAACGAAACAGAGGTCATTGTCTGAAACAGGGATAGCACATGAAAACAAGTGAAACTGTGAAAGAAAATTTAGCTTTGGATTCTCATACTCTGAAACAGAGAACACTAGCAATCTGGGATTGTCAATAATTTATCAACGAAATGGAGAAAACTTCAACGCAATATCCAAATCAAGATAATTTGTTTCGAGTAAGGTTCAAAAACAGTATCAAGATTCGCTGGACACTACCAATGACAATAAGGGCATGTTTGGTTTGTTATAAAATCAAAAACAGTTTTCAAGGAATATTGTGAGTTGGGTTGGTCTTGAAATAAAAATTATAAATCAAACAAAATATAATTGATTGTATATCTAAAAAAATTATTAAAACAATTTTAAGATATATAATTAATTAAATTACTTTTATAATCAATTATATATTTAATGTAATTGTCTTTGTTGCTTATATAATTAATTATATTAACTTATCTTTTAATCCTTTTCATTATCTTAGGAATTTTTTTTTTTTTCACATACCAAGCTGATAACTTTTTAATTGTCAGCTTCCCCTAGAACTATTTTTAGGTTCATAATTAACCAAACACGTCCTAAAACTATGCTTCTAATCTGGTCCAATTCTATTTTCATTTTTAAGTATGCAAATGAACTTAACCTATAAAGTGAGTGATAGCTATACTACTTATTACTTACTCAACTAAAATTTTGAAAGCTTTTAACCCTATTCCCCTTTCTCATTTCTCAAAAACTGAAATTTATTCGAAAAAAAATTTTTAGATGTGCAAACACAAGTTACACAACAAAATGAGTTGCCACTCAATATACACGTATGGGCTCACGTGCCCATCTCGACTTGGGCATCTCAATTACATTAATTTTCCCAAATTTCGTTCCTTCGTAATCTCCTCATAAAAATAATAATAATAATAATAAAATTTACACAAGGATTTGGATTAATAAAGGTGGAGGTACATAAATTATACGTCCAATTTTCTCATGTCTAGACTAGAAATTATAGATGCTAGTATGCAATGGAGTTGCTTTACACCTACTCTTTAACTTTATTCTTCCAATTGCCCCCACACTCCCACCCTTTACATCCTTCCTTTCATTTACTTTCTCCTTTCATCATTCTTTCACCATCTCAAAGCAACAATTTTGACCCCTTCATGGACTGAAAGCAGAGCAAACACAGAGTACTAGGGTTCAAGCTCAACCTCAAGCACAAGCTCTATCAATGGCGAAACCCATCCTTGGATCGTTCTTCAGCAAGTTCCTTTCTCTCTTCCTACTACTCCTTCACCTGGGTTGTTTCGTTTTCACAGCCAGAGACTATCACCAGACACAGAGCAAGAAAAGAAAAATCTCTTACCTGTCTTCTTCCTCTTCTCGTATCAAAACCCACAAAGCCCTCTCCTCCTCTTGGTCTTATCTCAAACGCATTTTCTCTTCTTCTAAACTCTGCAAAACCAACACCGACGCACACCTTGCAACACCCACCCTGACCTCCGCAAGAAACTCCCAGCAGTTGCTAGTATCCATGATTCCATCCGACACCCATTTAGCCGATGATAAAAAACCACCTGGGTCTTTTCCGGAATCGGATATCTCCGTTGAAAACCCATTTTTCCCTCTTCGGAACGATATCTTCCCCTGTACTGCTTGCGGCGAGATTTTCCAGAAACCCCAATTTCTAGAACAGCATCAAGCAACCAAACACGCCATATCGGAGCTCATTGATGGCGAATCGGGGAAAAACATAGTCCGGATCATATTCAAAACAGGGTGGACGGATACAGAGAAGAGCCCGGAAATCTACCGGATTCTGAAGATTCATAATTGTCCTAAAATTCTGGCGAGATTTGAGGAATACAGGGAATTCGTCAAAGCCAAGGCAGCGCAAAGCAGCGGTGTCGCCAGGAGAAGAGATGAGAGGTGCATCGCCGATGGGAACGAGCTCTTGAGATTTTACTGCTCGACTTTCATGTGCGATTTGGGTCTAAACGGAAATTCGAGTATTTGCAGCCAACAGTACTGCAGCATATGTGGGATCATAAAGTCGGGATTTTCGCCAAAACTGGACGGAATTCCGACCCTGTCGAGCAGCTGGAGAGCGCACGTGACGGTTCCCGACGAAGTTGAGGAGGAGTTCCGCTTCATGAACGTGAAAAGGGCCATGCTGGTTTGCAGAGTGGTGGCGGGAAGGGTAGGGACGGAGTCGGAGGAGGTGGACAAGGAGGACGGAGGCGGGTTTGACTCGGTGATCGGAAGGGGTGGAAGTGGGGCCCACACCAGGATCGACGAGGAGGAGCTATTGGTTTTCAATCCAAGGGCTGTGCTTCCTTGCTTTGTGATTGTGTACTCCGTGTGAGAGTGATTATCATAAAACTTATAAGATATAAGAGACATCATAGGTATGTAATGTAAGTAATCTTCTTAATTTTGCCTTTTGGTTCTAATTTCAGCTCTAGGGTCATGTCATTACCCAAAAAAGGGGAGTAGGGTTTTGAAAATTTTGTGATGTGTGGGGGTGATGATGGTTGTTTGTATCTATAGATGGGTTTAATTAACTCTCAAGCATGTGACCAAAAAGGTCGAGCTTTCATGTCCGAGACATAAGCCGATTAATGCGGTCGGAAGATATGTCCAAAATTAAACAGTTCATGTTTCTTCCTGTTTGATCAGAATTATAATTTACTACTTAACTTATAATAATGTTGTTTATTACTTACTATTAATGGTATGTGATAGAGGGTAGCATGATGTTTGTGATATCATGTGTAACTTCTCGTAGCGTTAATTATAAGATGTATATATGTGATGTAAATTAATGCTGCTTTTGGATGAGATGAAAGTGGTAGTTTTGTAAGTGTGAGTTTTCAGATATTTTCTATATGTATCTTGAATTCTAGATATGAAATTTGTGTTCCATGTATTTTGAGCAATATTGAACGATTGTATTTTGGATTCATCGTTCTGTCAACTATGATTTGATTATTGAAGAAGTAAAAAAACATACAAATGGGTATAATTTTGAAAATTTTTAATTATATTATTTTTTTTATTTTTTTATTTTAAAAAATAACACTTTTACAATAATTTCTTTTAAACAGAACTTCTATTAAAAATTTTAGGCTTTAGCTACATCAAACGGACACTGAATGTGGTTTAGGTTTTAGACTAAAAAATTATCAATTGTTTAAAATGAAATTTATATTGACAAAAAGGTACTAATTACAATTCGTCATATGGTTTGTGTAACCAAGAAGAACAACTATTCATCAAATGTGCCTGAAAGTCTCCTCTAAACATCTGTAGCCTGCCTGCGCCCAACAAAGTTCCACCAATGTTGCCACTTGTCCCAGCAATTGCCTAATTCCTCTCCCCAGTCACGTGCCTCCATGTTTGGACTCTCATCTTTCCTCTTTCCTTTCCTCACCACCCCATTTAAAAAAATAAAATAAAATAAAATTTCAAGTACTTCAAAAGAGCCAACACAAAATTCAAAACATGAACTTCTCTTTGCTTTTTTTAATCTTTACTATTTGTGAAACAAATTCCGAAGCAAAAAAAGCGATCATATATATGCTGCTGCTGTAGTGGGATGTGTTTTTGTCTGTTTGCTTACAGTTGTTGGGAGGTATCTGGAGCGTCGAGTGAGAAACAAGTGTCTTCGCCACCAGTGTTCCAGAGGAAATGAGCATAGTTAGCGGCATGGTAAGAGTTGGTAGGATCGGCAGAAATGGCCTCTTGAAAGGTCTCCTCCGCTGCCCACAAATCCTTCTTAACTCTCCATAAAAAGTTTGCATATTTACTGTATGCCTCCGCGTCTGCTGGCTCTACTGCTATTGCTCTTTTAAAGTATTTCTCTGCTCTGATTTCACAAAACAAAAACACAAACCCAAGTGTCAGTGAGACCAATTTTTTTTTTAACTAGTACAATTGGGGATGGAAAATATCAGTACTTTCTTAAAGAAATTGTGATTATTGAATTACAGTGTAGTTTGTAAGCGAGACCAACTTCATTACTTACACTAATTAAATTTTAACTTAGTGGTCAAAGTCAACATTCAACACCTACTTTTTATCCGGTGTCTGCGCTAGCTAGCTAGCGATTGGTGGAGAATGAGATATTTACTTTGAAGGGGACAAGGACAATCAATAAACTGCACCACACAATACCCTTATCAAAGATTAAAGGAAAACCAATATATGAGCTAGAGGATAAAGCTGATAATTTTAAAAGGTCATGTGTCTTTCTTTCTTTGCAACAAGAAAAGAAGGCAAACGAAATATTCCAACTATTGTACTTGATTCGGTTGTAGTTAATATGAATATTAACTCTACTGATATCCAAGAGGGTAAAGAGTAAAACCTCCGTATGCTACTGCGGTTAAGTATGAGATACAGGGAATTTAGAAACTGGGAAATGAACATATATGATAACTTAAGATTTTTACCTGTCGTAGTCGTGAGGAACGAGGCAGAGAAATTGGGCATAATTGGCTAGAAGAAGAGGGTTGTTAGGCTCATCTAGCAACGCAGCTTGATAAACCAGCTCTGCTCTAAAGTAATCTGCATAGTCGTCTGGTGCAATCTTAACCGTCAGAGGCGAAACCAGTCTATTTATGGTTTCAAGGTCAAGAGTTTCATCTCTAGACTGCATTTTTGAAGCTTCTTCTACTATTGAATCCCACAAACTCAACTCTTCTTCGCTGCTAATTTGCACTGAACTTGACTCTGCCTCTCTTGTTGTCCCATATGATGACAATTGAGAAACACCATCAGGAACAATGGTTCTGAATTGATCTGCCCTATCAAATCCTCCTTCACCTTCTGTGCCACTTGCAACTGGCCGGAATTTGCCTCCACCCCCGTTGCTACCGCCAATTGAGGTTGTTTTCCCACTGGAAGAAGATACCGAGAACGTCTTAATTGTTGAAGAATCAAACTTTTGATGCTTCTGCTCTTGAATCTCCACCACAGATGAAATAGTGGCAGGTGGTGGCGACACTGCTGCTATGGCGGTGTTGCTTCCCATGGAATACACTGAATAATTCGCCAACAAAATCATGACGTACACCATGAGAGTGGGTGTATGTGAAAACACCTGCTGAAATAGCCAAACAAAAGAAGCACGAATCTCCTTCTGCACCCGAACTAGGATGCCCTGTAGATCTTGATACAGGAGAAGCCCCTTCATTTGCAAGGTGTAACAATGAAGCTCTTGGATTATAAACACCATCGACGAGAAGGCCTTTTTCATGGAACAATAAGCCGAGTCTCTAGCCTCTCTGAAACCGTCTTGCCACCGTAGCTTCCTCTGTATCATCCGAAGAGAAAGCGGAAAGTCTAGACTGTTCGCCTTCCGCTCAATGCTGGCCGGATTTATCTCCTCCCCACCGTCTGACCAATCCGGTGTTTCTCGCCATGAAAAGTGCTCGTCATCAATAAAATTGTTGATACTATTCCTGTTTGATTCTTCTTGGCTTACAGTCTCTCCACCATCTACTTCGCAATTATTATCTACGGCGTTGCTGCTACTGTTTTCATCATCATTATCATCTAATAGTTGGTTTCTCATCACCAATTCCTCAATCTTCTTCGAAAATTCTTCGTCCGAGAACGCATCTAAGCTTGCGCTGCAAACTCTCTTTAAAGTGCGCGATCTAGATTTCAGAAACTCGCAGGACCGAGATCTGAGGAGTCCGGTAGGTTGAGTCCCGAACATAACAGAGCGCTCCAGTCCGCGAACGTACAGGCACATCAGAGCTACATCGCTCCGGCATCGTCGTTTTAAAGACGGCGTAGAGATTGCAGAAGCGAGTGCCTGTGAGGGAGAAGGAGAATGATGAATAATCGGTTGTGACCAATGCGAACATGTTCCGGCGGCTTTCAATGCCATCTCTGAGAGGTAAAGTTGGAGAAAAATGTCCAAGAAACAAAGAGCAACAAGCTTTCTGAAATCACTCTTCCCTGAAAATGAGAACACCGATTATCAATCAGAAACTTGAACAATTTCAAGAACAATCTCACCGTAAAACGCCAAAAAAAAAAAAAATTGCAGCAAAAATAGAAAGGGACTATTCTATTCACAAGAAATGATTACTCTGCCATGAAAATCGGATCTTAGAATACGGAAACCAAGAAAATTTTAGATTCCAAAAAGGAACTTACTACAACTTCATTAGATTTTGTAGAAGCGATTACGCTTCTTAATTTCGCCGACAAGAGCTCCGGCGAAGCCCCACCGCGAAACTTATCAGGGAGAGCGAGACACTGGCAGAGCTGTGTGTTCAGTATTATATGTTGAGGACTGAGGAGAGAGGAGAGCCAAAAATCTGAAATACCACTAATGCCGGTCAAAATCGTGTAAATCATACAATGATACTGTATACAACGAAAACTTCCTAATTTTCCAACGGGGAGATCCGGTAACCCGTT